GGGGGGACGTGTGTGCAGTGGTCTTGCGGCAAGAGGTACACAGGTGAAGTCTGCGGACGCAGACCTGTGATGCACAAGTCTTTTAAGATGGGGAAGGAGAGCAAGAGAACTGAGAAACATTGTCGCCAGCTAAAGATACCGATAAAAAAAACATCCTAAGAAAGTCTTTGCTTTTATCTTTACAGGTGAGATGGAGAAGCTGTACACACAAATCACTGAAACCCAACGAATTAATCAAAAGGGGAAATTACATGGTATTGTCACTGCCGATCTAAGAATCAACACTTCTAAAAAACATGAACGCTTTGCAGCCTTCATCTCCTATTTTGTTTATTTATTGTCAGGTTAGCGAGCAAAACTGGCTCAGCACAAGGTCCAACGAGTGGCAGGGCTGGGAGCAAAGCAGCGCTTCCCCTTCCGGCACCAGCAAAGTTCAATCAGCTCAGCTGGGACAGTTGCACCATCAAAATAACTTGTTGCATGTTTTGACACGTACAGTAACTGATAACCCAATAAACGGAGGAGAATGCACAGCTCTTGGATTCAGTCACAATTTCTACGCAGCCTTCCAGAGCGACGGAAGACCTGAGAGCCGGGCATCCTGAGCAAGGTGAGTGCAGCAGTAAAGGCAGCTTGCTCCCCTAGCCTGAGCCACCAGCGGTGTACGGGGGATGTACACAAACGCAGAGGAGAGCTATCTGTACCTTTACAGCCCTAGCAAATCTGCTCGAGACAGGAGAAACGCTCTGTAAGAACTGAAGAAAGCAAGTAACAAGCACCCAAGCCTCAATTACAGGCTATCATCAAGAGAACCACAGAATTTTAGGGGGAGGGGGGGGGGGTTTGCAAAGGCTTAGCATTTAATGCTCTAAAGTAGTAAATCCACAGCAAATCCTCCTGAATCGAAATATGCCTAAGACATATTTTAACTTATTTTTTAAAGTCTTCTCAAATGCCATCTTCTGCTCCCAAACAACTAAGCTCCACTGTTACATTTGCTTTCTCAGTATTGTGCAAATGAGGTTACGTCCAGTGCCTCGAGTGCCCTTTCGGCATCGCAAAAGCTCCTTCCAATAAATAGTAAGCAAACCATTTATTCGTATTTATCTCCCCCTTTAAACCCAAGTAACCCAAAAGTGTCCAAGAGATTAAAGCTGATCTAAGCGGTACTTTTTTTTTTTTGCAGTTAAAGGAAGTTTGTTCTAAAATTATGCACGTTACTGATGCATAATTTTATCACTTAAAAACAGAATGGCCTGGGAAAGGTTTTAATAAGAAAAAAGAAATACACCTCCCCATTTGTGCACATTGACTCTGAATAAAAAAGACAGCGGCTGCTGAGATCTAGCTAAATGTAAGTTTTTCTTCTCAGTGTTTCAAATTTAAATTAAGTCAAGACTCACGCGGTGTGGAAATTAATTTTTCTCCAGTGGTGCCTTTTCATTTTACTACCAGAGTCCACGCATGCCTCGGGATCACTTTCTGGCTTATTTGTTCTAAGACTGGTGTGAAAGCTAAATATTACCGTGCTTGGCAAACTTGGTCAAAAGCCTGCCTCTTCGCAAAAACAAGATTGTTAATGAAAAACAACAACAGTCCACATGGAAAAAAAAATAATCCCATCTCATCACATGAAATGCAAGTTTTATAAACACCTTTGGACAGAAACAAAACAAGTAGCAGCCATAACATCACTTACTTCCACGAGAGAATTCCCACTGCAAACATGACCGAGCTCCTACAGACCGTGGATGGGAAGAGGAGAGCCACACACAGAGAATACACCCTGACCAGTCGTCCCTTCCACGCCAGGGAAATAAGTGTCTGATTACACTACGTCCCTGGGAGCACGGTGCTTTACTGGCAGCAGCACTGCTACCAGGATAGGGAAAAACACCCTTTAAAAATGAAAACAAGCTATATCAGTAAAAGTGCACTTTTGCAGATAACTGCTTCTACAGCTGGGACTTCTGCTGGCACAGCTATGTCAGTCACGGGTCACACTTCGTCACAGCGCTCACACACAGAGCTGTGCCAGCAGAAGTTTGCCATATAGACCTGGTGGGAAACTCAACAGCGACTAAAATGAATCTGCAAAGTTTTGTGTTTTTCGTGCTGCTGCCAAACTAAGTTTTTCTAACAGTCTGATGATGGGTAGTCTTACTCCTGTGCTGCTGACACGTTAGGATCTCAGCTTCCAAGGACAGAAGAAACCTAAACTCAGCTCAGGAACGTGGCAATACCTATCAGCCATTTACATTGTACTTTACCCTTCAATTAAATACCCAAACTAAACTAGAAAGAGCCCCTGTAGGAAGAAAAGATAAAATGGAATAAATTAAATTCTGCTGTACTTTAGCACTCGGAGCAGACCGCCCTCGCTTTCAATAGTAAGAAAAGAACAAAACTCAAGTGTTTAACTGGACTTGTTCAGCAGACAGCAAAGCGCTGCAAAATTCCCACCGTTCAGTTAAACCAAACAGTCAAACTGAAATGGGACTTTTGCCATCTTCAATCTTCTTTGAAGACAGCGGGCAAGGAGATTTAATGCCCGAACTGACGCTCAAACGTAAGTTCTATTCGGATGACTTGACACGATACTGCGGTTCGTGCGTACGGTGATGCGTATCGTTATTCCAGAGCACAGAGCAGCAAGATGTCAGAAGCGTGCGCGCTGCCGATCTGCTCTGGAGCAAAATTACAAACTCGAGCTGTAAATAAACTCCCACCACGCTCCGTGGGGGCAAAGCAAGCTACGGGCAAGCGCTTCGGTGCCTCCGAACCCGCTTGCGTTCAATAATGAATAAAGCCGTCCGAAGCGCAGGGCTGTGGAAAGGAGAAGGGCTACGTACAGGAAGCCAGGTCAGGCTGCGGCGCTTGCACGCAGCGCAAAGTAAACCTCAGACGTAAAGCCTGCCTTCATCTTTTGTGAGGTATCGCCGGCACGTGGCCGTGCCTAAAGCGG